TGCTGAACTGACACTGACAGTTTAATAATTGTGTTTTATTAACAAATATATTCTTAATGAAAAACTCATTTCGAAGGTGGTTCTCAGCTGAGACTATTTCTGCACTCCTGAATTCAATCTGTCTCTTTCCTTAATCGCAACACATCGGCTGTGATTTCAGTTGGTGCCGCTAGATGGCACCAAACTACTTTTGCTGGAGGATGGCCAATATCTCTGTATTATGCAATATCCAGACGGAGGTTTTATGGCAGTTCGAAAAAACAGTGGTGTCCACACGTGTCAAATCAATAACTAGGGACGTCCAGATGAGACTGGTTGTGTAATATATATCCCACACCTACATGTGGTGCTGTAAACGGACACAGACATAGCAATTAAACACCAGAAGAAGACTGTTCTGGTTTGAGTATGTTGTGGGTTTAAAAAAAAACAAAAAACAAACTGCTGTTATTTCCTATGCATCTTCAGTGCTCTTGTGAGTGACAAAAGGCAATGAGGTTTCATTTCAATGCTGCTGACAAACCTAGCAGCATCTGCAGCTCAAAACACTCCTCCGTTCCCGCCATTCACCGTGACCATCATTGCACGCCATTGTTCTAAAAAAAACAATGACGTCGTCATGACCACGGCATTATCAGATTTTCCCTCTCTAAAACCGGTTCAGAGAAAACTCTCAGTGCGTAGCTGTTACCATGTGGGTGAGAGGTGCTAAGATAAGAAACTACTGTTTTTCGAACAGGCGTGGGCTAACGTTTTGCCTCGCAGGTCACAGAAGTCCTAAAATTGAACAGGGTGTGGCCCTGGTCAGGAGCAGATAGATGGAGCGTTGGTGTGAACTAAGATAAATGACATGATAATGTCATGCATAAAGGCTGTTGTTAAAATGCTTAAATTCTTTTATCATTTTCTATGCCACCTATTGGGGAAACGTGGGCATTGCATTGTATTGCAGGGAAAAGGCAGAAGTATAATGATAATAAAATTAATTATATAATTTGGAAAAGTTTGACAGGCCAGATTAAAATGATTAAAAAGCTAAACGGGCTGCATCTGGCCCCCAGGCCTTAGTTTGCCCATGCCTGGTTTAGACCTAATAATCAATGTCGCTTTGGATGAAAGCGTCTGCTAAATGCAAAAATGTAAATGTACATAAACCAATAGTGAGATGACCAATCGGTCAAACTTTGAACCTGATTTTTGCCCATGAGCCAACACCTAGACCAACACCTAGATTGGTCTTAGTCTAAATCCAATTCTCATCAGTAGCCTCTCATATCCGATGTCTTAATGACTGTGAGTTAGAGTCTGGATCTTAGGTCTGTGTTTCAATGTAAGTCTTTCAATGATGTCAGTCAAAAATCTCCAGGAAACGTCAAAAACATTTCTAATGACTTTTAGGATTTTTTCCAAATCGACCCTCCCGCCAGTATTCGTAGCGCTTTCTTTTTGGCATCTTCTGTTCAATCTCGGTCACCCCCATTTGTCATTGCAGGAGACTCACCTCCGGGGCTGTCCAAAGAAATTGCCAGTGCTCTGTCCCATGTCCCAGGCTTCGAAATGGATCCTTTCTCCCTTGATGACCCACTCAGAATGGACCACCTGGCCCTAGACATGCTCGAAGGTGACCTGATGTTGGCTGACCCTGCCGTGGAGGACTCCTTTCGGTCAGACCGACTGAAATGACCTCTGCCCCTGCAGCTCCTAGCTCCATTTGTACTCGCACTCCACTGTGGGAATGCAGAGATGGAAATCTGTGAAGACGGACAAGTAGGGGACTACGTCGGCATACAGAGCCAGGTCTGGAAGTTCTGGAGGAACGAACCGAGGTTTCTGACGGTGATGAACTAATGAAGGCGGCGATTTTTTTCCCGTTGAAAGCACTTAACTGCAAAATAAAAAAAAAGAAATTGCTCTTGCTAATGCTTGAAGTCAAGAAAAAGGCGCTTTTCTATTTAGCCATTAGCTTGCATGAGTCTCAGCTACATGTAAATGAAAATGCACTTGCGTAAAATGCAAATACATTGGAGGGGGAGGGGAGATGCTAACTCTACTCTGACGTCCAATTAGTGTTAAGTACTCTGTATAAAAGAAAAACTAAGAAAATCCGAAAAGGAAGCATACGAGAAAACATGACCTAGAACTGTTTCTGGTCACTTCATGTGGCTGTGGCTGTGGCTTTGCTAAGCTTTTTTTAAAAAGACATGGATGTTTGGTTGTTGGAAGATTTTTTTTTTTTTTTTTTTTGCTCCAAAAATGCAGTTGGTCTTGCTGTAACCACCATTTGACAGGAAGTTAGCCAGTATAAATTATACATCTAAAATGTATATATACCTTTTTAAATATCAAAACAACCCAGTGAGTCACAGTTGAGCAAAATATATATCTTCGTACAGTGACTTGATCAGCTCCACACAGAGGGGTTGCAATGTGATGCACTGATGTTGTCGAAGCAGCTTTGAATACGATAAAGGCCACGGTGATTGGTAGATTGTCACTTGACAAATTACAAAGGAAATTTTTGTAAAGTTGTACCTTTAAAAAAAAAAGTCCAAAATTATTCTTGCGATATACTTTTTTAAGTAAAATAAATAGCTAAAATAATTTTCAGGATTTTTTTTACCTAAATGATCTGATATATGAATTTTGACCATTTCACAGAATTCAGAGATGACGTTTGTTATTATTTACTAACTTACTTCAATCTCTGACCTGAATCTCTAAAACATTTAAATAAATTTGAATTTAAAAATATATATTTTAGTGTTTCAGATCAAAAGAATATATATTTTTATTCTTGTATTTTATCAAAAAAGTAATTTAAGTTCAGAATTTTTCAAATTGATTTCAGAGTTTTAAAAAGAAGAAAAGATTGTCTATGTGAATCTTATTCCGGTCCCTTAGATTCAGCTCTGATGTGGACCTATTTGCCTTTATGTGAAACAAGTGAAGAGTTAAAAAGTAAAAAAGTTGAAAAGCAAAATCAGCCAATCATGGCCGCTGATGCCCCAGTCTGGATTCGCTTTCCTCTAAAAAAAAAAAAAAAGAAAAAAAAAAAAGCAGACTGAGCAACGGAATCAAACCTAAAACTTGAGCTTTAAACTTAAATATGCAAAAACTGTAAATGATGCAAAAAAGAAAGAAAATGATGCAGTGTCATGTACTTATGATGTCACATAATTGTATCCAAGGATACGTAGAGTTACTGAAAATATATGGAGGTTAATTTTGACCAAAACCCACTCAGGCCGGAGTCCAAGTTTCAGTCAAAGTCCTAGTCCGAGTCCATGTCCAAGTCTTTGTTGCATTCTTGATCCTAATCTGAATCTCTGGGATTTATTCTTGCTCACTTTAAATTTCAGCCATATCATTCTCAGTCATTAAATAAGTATTTTTTTATAAAAAAAAATAGAAAAATGAAAAATTAAATTACCATCGAAATGAACTGTGTTTAAAATACAAGACTTAAGATATTAAAAATATGAGCCTCATAAAGTAATATAGATTTTGTAGTAAAACACCTGATTGTGGCTATCAGTATCACTTACAGAAAATCAAACGGCAACAAGAATAAACGTCAGATGTGACATAGAAGTTCAGAGCAGGGTTCTTGGAAGTGACGGAGAGAAAGCATGTAATGTCACTGGATGATGTTACAGGACATTACAGTCACCACTGCTGGTCAAATGTGGGGGCTGATGACAATAAGTGTTCTTACTTTCGAGGCTGATGACAGAGATGAGAGAAGACGTGAAACAGAAAGTGACATTAAAGGGCGAAGAAGTGTTCATGGCGAGCGAAAAGTGATGTAATTGGAAAATACAAATTGCTAAAAAAAAATTACAATTTATTTAAAAAAAACTGATCACAGAATTTGATCTGCCATTTGTACTTACGTATCTGTGCAGCATCTTGTCTTCGTTATGCAATACTGTACATCTGTGTTTTGCAGAATGTGTCAGTAGGGAGAGCTGTTGAGCAGCGAGGTGCAGTGTTTGTGTGTTGGGGTGGGGAATCAATTTAAGGCCATATTTCAGATATTATTTTCATATTTTGTATTGATGTATAATATTAATTTCTTTCACGTTATTAATGTTTTTGTTTGTTTTAGTGCCCTCTGCGTATCAGGCTCTTTTTTTTAAGTGTTGAATGTTGCATCGTGGAGGGAATGTAGAGTGTTGTTGATGTCATTATTTGTAAATATGAATTTCACAGGAAAATTTTTTTAAAGAAACTGTATCTTCACATTATTTTACAGAAAATAAATCCTTAAACTACTAAGCTGTGTTTTTCATTAGTAGTACCCACTGCACATACATTTAAAAAAATATTAAACACTGCTAGAGGACACTAGATTTAAATATTAGCTATTTTAAGATACTTCCAGTTATGTCATTTTAAGCAATTATGGCACAGAAAAAAAACATTTCTATTTTATATTTTATTTTCATTTACGAGAACCAGTATCCAAATAAATAAATGTGATGCATTACTGTTTAGTAGTGTTCATTTTAATCAAAATTAATTAATCAAAGGTTACACAATTGGATTTTTTTTAAACTTAACAAAAGGGTATTTTTTTTATTTTAAATAATTTTTAACACGGATTTAAAATGTCTGACTTAAAATACTATGACCTTCAATAGCCCAAAAAAAGAATAGTATAAATATTGTACACCGGAAGTACATTTAATTCGGGGCGATTTAATTTGAAGTACCCTAGCGGAAGTGGTCCCTGTTGTCGTCGCTGTTGTTTTGTTGTAACTTGACACCCCGCCGCTATTGCCTCTTCTTGTTCAGCTGCGGGTCTTCGGTATCAAACATGGACGTCACATGTGAGAGACGGAGCTGAACCATGGTCACCGTCACCCTCTGCAGCGGGAAAAAGCAGTTGAGTCACGATAAGGTAACACCGGCCTTGACTGCGTTCTCTGTCACTTCTGACTGTTTAACCGAACCCGGTTCTGTTACAGGGAGAGCCGACAACGACGAGGGAGGGTTAGCGGCAACACACGCGCGCACACACAGGCACACACATATACACAAACACACACTGTATTTAAAGCGTTTAACGGGAGACATCGACGCAGGCTTCCATTATCGGACACGCCTCCTTCCCTGCTGCTTCTACAGTTTCTTATCGCAAACGCGATGTCACGACGCCCGAAGCTCCCATCCATTCACCTGAGTTGAATGAAGTAAATACTGGTAATTGCTCCAAGCATGGTTGTCGTTAATATCTTTTCAAATTGCAAATTGGGGGTAAGCCCTATTTATTTTGTGAACATTAAAAACGAAACGAGAGCCTTAACATCGAGATTCGTATTAGCATCAGTGTTGTGTTCTGCTGGTACAGTGGTATGGATTAATGCTGCGTGTCCGATAATGGAAGCCCAGTCGTTGATTCCTGATGTCGCAGCCGGCCACAGTACTGGCCAATGGTCACATGACCACAGTGACGCAGGAGGGGGAAGCCACTATACACGCAAGGAATGGAGGGTTATTATTGGTCACGTGGTGCGTCACCGGGGGAGTGGTGGCGGGACTGATATCAAGAAATAGTTATGGCAAATAATGATAATGGAATCCGTCCCCTCTGGGTCGTTGCTTGTCCCATACTTTAAATGCCCCTGCAGAAAAATCAAAATCAAACGTCAACAGTTCTGTATGTCCCATGTCCTGTCCTTCTGTCCCGCACGCCGACCGTTTGTCCTTACATGCACAAGTCGGTCATTTTGCCAAGGCATGGTTCTGTGCGTCTGTGCGTCTGTCTCTTGGCCTGTGTTACTGGCTGTCATTTCTACAGTTTCTACCCTACACGCTCTGTCCTGCAGTCTGTCTCTTCCCGTATTCATTCTGTCCATCCTTCATCTTTTTTTTTCATCATCAACTCACTGGCAACTTAAGGGTTGCTGCTATAAAAAGCAGTCTTAACATTACACTTTACTAGTGGACCTGAAATGTTAACCATTGGCCCAAAAAAAAATTGAGACATCTCAATGTGTATTTACCAGTCAGGTCCATCCAGTAATGGCAATTATTCTACCTGAGAGTCAACACAGGAGCTGCTGGTCTGTTGCTAACTTGTGTCAGTGCTAGCTAAAGATGTCACGTGAGTTCAATTCCATGTTTTTCTGGAACAGCCTTGCTTTTCCTCCCTCCCCAGGTGTTAAAGCTTTATGCCGCTAATTGAAACTAAAACCATCTTGCGCTAAAGAAAGAGGGAGTGTAAACAAATTTACAGGAAGTGCCTCATTGGGCTAGGTTTCTTTCTTGTAAGTCACGGGACATATTTTGATGTCTTTTTCATTGGTTCAGATTAGCACTTGGGCGTGGAACCTGTTAAAACAAGCACAGAGTGAAAACGTGGTGATCATACCTCGAGGTTCCACTATGTCATCCTGAACTCCGAGAGAAAATAAAAAAATTTTGAGGTCTCAAAAACACATGTAGCCAGTTTGAGTGAATGATATGAAAAGCTACAAAGTAGTGTTGGGACACAGATCAAAGTTGATCTCAGATAGATAGAATTATGTTTTTATTCAATAGCACTTCAAATTGATTGGGTTTACAAACACGTGAACTTAAAATTTAAAATTGCAAAAAAAAAATTCACATTTTAACTGCCTTCCGACTCATCTGTTGTGAGCTTGCTGCAATGTTTTGTCCGTACCAGGACTGTCATAGCTAACAAAAAACTCGCAGCAACAAGTTTTTGGTTTTTTTTTTTTTTAGCAGCAACAAGTTTTTGGGTTTTTTTTTTTGCATACATGTTCTTCATGTTCTTATCCAAGCTGCCATCTAAGGTTAAAAGAAAAAACGCAAAATTCTTCCGGCACTGTCTTTCATCACAGTTCGCCATACATTCTTGCGTGCTGACATCACTCGCTGACGTCACTCGCTGACGTCATATCGTAAGTCTGTGCCAAATTAGGCAACTTTTTTTTTATCGTAAGTCAAGTCAACGTTATTGTCAGATATGCCATAAATGCGAGACATATAGCACAAATAAAATTACAGTCCTCTCTGACCCACGGTGCAAACAAGTAAAAACAATACATAAAAAAAATACACTAAATTAAAAAAAAAAAAAAAAGTTATGGAAAGACAAAAGACCATCATTAATTAAAATCAGTCAATCAAGGGCAAAAGCAAATGAGCAAGTAAAATGTAATCTGCACTTCCTGTAATTAATTAATTTAAATGAATTCCACGGTTAATTAATTATATCAAATACCTTCCCCGGTCTTGAGAGGATTGAAATTTGATTTTCTTGCTGTCGGACGCCGCCGTAAGACGACACTTGTTCGTGAGATGAATCTCGTTTCACTCATCGGAACGGCAGGGTTCATAAAAATGAATATTTCCGATTAAAAGCCAGTGGTCTGTGGGTTTGTGAGATGATGCATAATTGACGAGGTAAACATGAATCCGCTGCAGCTACTGACAGGCGTGTCGTGAATTGTTAGCACAACTGCGTGATTGGATCATTAATAACTAATCCAGAGTTGGTACTGAGTCGGTCACGTGTGGCTGGTTAATTTGAACTTCTATCACTCTTTATGTTAGACACGGTGAAATCCGGCCTGTGAATTTAAAGGGAACTCTGGCATGTCCCAGCATGCACTGGAAACACAAATCTGCGTCTGAGACACGCTGGGAACGTAAACATCAGCTGTCACATCTTTTTTTTTTTTTTTTTTTTTTTTTTTAAACCTGCGGGCCCGTCTTCCCTCCCCCCTTTTTTTTCTCCTTCCATTTCATTCTGACAACAGACCCACCACTCTCTCTCTCTCTCTCTCTCTCTCTCTTTCTCTGTTTTTTTTACTGGATTGCATCACTTGTCCACTAACTCACTAAATAACTATCCACTTACAACTGGGGATTTGTGGGATCACAGAGGTTCCTCCTCCTCTTCCTCCTCCTCCTTACATCTGTTGAGTTTCACAGGACAGGGACTCGCCCTTTAAATATGTCTGTGTTCAGTTTTTGTAACTGCTAGTTGGATGAAGAAAGGGGAAAAAAAAACAGTAAGTATGAGTTTAGACATGTCTGAGTGCCTTGAAGTCAATATTTATTTCTATAGACTATGGTGTGGAACACAGTGATAATGGTAGGTTTTCCGTTTGGAATCTTGCCCACAATTCCAATTTAGCAAAACAGATGTACACGTAGTACACATATCTACAATGTTTAAGGCGCAATTTATAATATTTCTATTAAGACATTTCACTCTTGTTTTCTAAGAGTTTTACCATAGAATTATCATTAAAAATAAATAATCTTTTTGGAATAGGCCTTTAATAAGGAAAGTGGATTCCTTATTAATTATCCTAATCCTAAAAAGGTCATGTTTCCAGCTGCTCCTGTTGAACCACTTGTCTTCTTCATCCTGTTTGTTTACTCTTT